TAAGGCCTTTGCTGGAGACATTGCAAATCAGTGTGCCGCTGATGCCGTCCAGATCTTTGGTGGGAATGGTTTCAATAGTGAATATCCTGTGGAGAAGCTGATGAGAGACGCTAAGATTTACCAGGTAAGGATTGTAGACCCAACTTTGTTTATTTGAATTGGTAAAGATTCTGAAATGTGACTAATGTCTTATTGTCTGCATCCACAGATTTATGAAGGGACTGCACAAATCCAACGGCTCATCATCTCAAGAGAACACCTTGGGAAATTCAAACAATGAACCTGTAAACCCAGACTTCCATGCCATAAACTAAGCGTTTGGTTGAGTGTCTTTTGTAAATGATAATGATTTTTTTTTTTTTTTGATCAATAGATCTCAGGATTGTATCTCACAGATTGTAAATTGCCTAGACAGATCTCCAGTTGCCTTATGTCATATCAGCATGCCTTGCCGTCTTTGTGTTGAACAACTAAGTTGATCAAAGCTGAACAAAGTAACATAGTTACACAGCTCTTCCTTAGATTCTTTTTGTTACCATGTCCTGAAAACAAAAATAAATAATCTCCTTTAAAAACACTTGTAATTTTATTGCCCAAATATCTACCAAAATGTTAATTAATATTAACCTATAAAATGCAATATTTAGCTTTGTCCTACATTTTGAGTGCAACACTGCGATTGCGACTTAATGATTTCCACCAATACAAGTAACTTCATTTGGACCTACACAATGTTGGGTAGACAAGTGCTTATCTCATTGTCATCACTTTCTATTTTTTTACACAAATTGTAATTTTAACTGCATTTGTCAAGCTCAACCATTCAACTCCATTACCACATTTATGGAAAAATAATGAACAAACAAATATTAATATTTAATTTATGGTAAATATGTTTATTAGCAACTAAACCAACATTTGGTCCCAAACTACAGTAGTTTACTGAGGGATGGCTTAAATTTGGATAAATAATATTTTGTATAATACTGATGCATTTTTTTTAAATGTTTATATATTGAAAAACAACAAATCAAGATTTTAAATGGTTTAAAATGTCCCAAATCTCAAACTAATTTAGCATTACTAATTAGCTTTATCTACTATTATTTATATATATATATATATATATATAT